GCGAATGCGTAACGGCACCTGGGGCGGAAGCTTCCAAATTGAAGCCACTAAAGATTCTAAGGTGGTTTCAGGGAGCATCCTTTCGGACGCCCCTGTGGCACCATTGACGCCGGAAGCCGAAAAGTCGCCCGCGCACCTGACCTTCCGAACTCTGCCAGCGCTGCTGTTTTTCCCGCCCTGTGTGACTGGGAAACGCGGTGTCACGATGCAACGATCGATATTCAAGTGCCGAATTCGCGCTTTGCCTTCTCCGATCTCACGATCGCAGGCAGCAGCAAACCCAGCGGCCACTGTTGCATCAACCTTAAAAAGGCGCCGACGCTCGGCGCAGCATGGTGCAGTTCTGCTCCCGCGCGCCCGCAAGCAAGGACTCTTTTGACACAGACAGGGCTGCGCCAACAGTTTGGGCGCGAACCCCACTAGAGGGCAACAGGCCTACTTCAGGGAAGCCGTGCTGCAAATGTTGCACCAATGCCGAATCTGGCCACTCGATGGAGCGAAGCATCTCGCCTAGAAGGAGAAGATTCTTCCGGGGCCTAAAACTGCTTGGCAGTGAGCTGGAAGCTGCGCGTAGGCACGCTGCCAGAGTGGCTCCGTCACTCGCTTTCTCTCAGCCCAAAACTCCAATGCTTCCGCGCGAGCGTGCTGCAACTCAGACCTAGACATCTCAGCGACGCGCTCGCACCCTGCCTCTAAAAACTGCGGCAGGCGGGGGGCTTCAGCGCAAACGGGCAAAGCACTGGCCCACTGCAAGTGATCCCATGGACCCAGGCGATGAAGATCATCGCGAGCTAGAAAATCACGCGCGGTGGTACCAATCTCCTCGAGACCAGTTTTACAAGAAACCGCTGCGCAACCAGGGCTGCCTGGCGGGGGCGAGGGGTCGTCCTCCTCGCCCGCCGAGCTGCCGTCTTCCTCGGGTGGCCCCGAACCCACTCACTTCCACCGACGCTTCTCCCAGCTGCTGCCGTTGGCGGTGGCGCGCGGACTCCTCGAGCGGGGGTGGCCCTTGCTCGCGCTGCCCTTGGGGCGCATCTCGGGCGACCGCGGGCGCCTGTCATCGCCGCCCTTGTCGTTCTTCGCGCCCTTGCCGCCGGAGCTCGCGCTGGAAGGCCCCGCGCCTCGGACGTCAGGACCACCCTTGGAATATCCTTTGTGCGAGCCCTTCTGCGCTCCGCCAGCCCTGGCGGTCTCGGCGAAGCGCCTCTCCACCGTGTCTCTGGCATCCTTCAGGATGCTCCTGTCGATTTCCGTGAAAAACAATGTCAGGTCTTTTTCGTATCTCTCGAGGGCCTGCGCCATGGCCTTCCGCTGAACGACGTCGTACTGGAACGCTGTCCTGACGCCGAGGTCTTCGGCAATGCGGATGATGTTGTTAGAATAGGCAAAGAAATCTGACATCTTGCACGCCTTGGTGAGGATCAGCTTGAAACCCCACTCGTTCAGGTGCCCCATGAACGTCGCGAAACTGATGTAGTCAATCTTGCCCACCCATGCACCAGACCGCTTTGCGGACCCGTCGCCAATGATGGCATCCACGACTGGCGCGCGGCTGCACTGCGGGCGGTGGTGCGGCACGATGCTTTGGATAGTTTCGTGGCGGTACTGCGCGAGATCAGCTTGGCAGGTGCTGGCGGAGCCGCCCTGCGCAAGGAAGACTTCGTGAGCGCATTCAAAACTTTGCCGCTGGCCAGTTCCCACCTGCGATTTGCCGTGGTAACTTGGGATGCTGCCGAGGCGCGCGGGCAGGGCCTACAGCTGCTCGCGTGTCCTTTGGCGCAGTGGCGTCTGTTTATAGTTGGGAACGATTTGGCGCTGCAATCCGGTCGATCCTCGCGTTGCAGCCCCTGCCCAGGATCTTGGCGCTGGGAGTGGCATTGACGAGGCTTGCCTCCGAAGGGGCATGGCTGCCCTGCGCCTTTTGGCAGATGCGCGCAGGGAGCAGCAATGCATCGAACCGGTTACGCTGGCTGCAGCAGTTCGTGATATAGCCAAGCTACCTGATAATCCTTTTGGCGATGAGCCTGTCCTTCCGCGGCAAACTCAGGCCGCACTTCTCCCGGGCTCTGCCGGGTTCCGTGTGGCATGCTGCGTGCAGGTTACCTCGCGGCCTTCTCGCGGGCAAAGCCCTCTCGCGGGCACCCAGAAGTCACTTTAGGGTCGCTGCCTTCTCGCGGCTTTACCTCGTGCGACGTGGAGGTTCCCTGCCTCCTCACAAGCGGCAAACCCAGGCCTGTCGAGCTACGCTCTCCGGCCCTCTTCGCCAGAGGACCGGGCGTCCCAGGGCGCAGGCTCCTTGTTGGTTTCCAGTGGGTGCGGCCCTCAGTGCATTTCTGGTGCCGCTGAGCGCCATTCTCGCACCCCGCCGTGAGGGCTACTCTCTCGCTGGTCCTTGCCGCCTGTGGTGAAACGTAGAGTGCGTCGTTGCTGCCCCCGTGGGGGCCGTGCTCTCTCTGGCCCTCGCCGCCTGCCATGCCCAGGTCTGCGCCGGCAAGTCTGAGCGCGACTGTGCACTCGGGCGGCGTTCGCTTGCCCAGTATTGCACTCTATGCTCCTCCTTTCTGCGTTCTGGTGCCCAGGCGCACCCAGATTCGCAGTCTGAGCGCGAATTTGCGCTCGTGGGCGTCCGCGTGCCCAAAATTGCATTTTGTGCTCTTTTTGGCGTTTTGGTGCCAAGGCGCACCCAGTTTTGCAGTCTGTGCGCGACTTCGCGCTCCTGGGCGCCCGCGCCCCCGGAATTGCATTTTGAGCTCCTTTCTGCGCTCTGCTGGCCAGGCGCACCAAGATTCGCAGTCTGAGGGCGTCCGCGTGCCCAGAATTGCATTCTGAGCCTTTCTGCGGTCTGGAACCCAGGCGCACCGGGGTTCGCAATCTGAGCGTGACTTAGCGTCCTTGGGCGTCCCCGCGCCCAGAATTGCATTCTGAGTTCCTTTCTGCGTTCTGGTGACCAAGCGCATCAATATTCGCAGTCTGAAGGCTCCTGGGCATCCGCGCGCCCAGAATTGCATGCTGAGCTCCTCTCTGCGTTCTGGTGCCCAGGCGCACCCGGGCTCGCAATCTGAGCGTGACTTAGCGCTCCTGGGTGTCCGCGCGCCCAAAAAATGCATCCGGAGCGCCTTTCTGGGTTTTGATTCCAGGCGCACCCACGTTCGCAATCTGAGCGCTTGTGGCGTCCGCGCGCCCAGAATTGCACTCTGTGTCCATTCTGCGTTCTGGAGCGCAGGCGCGCCCAGATTCGCAATCTCGGCGCAGCAAAGCGCTCCTCAGCGTTCGCGCGCCCAAAATGGCATTCTGAACGCCTTTCTGCGTTCTACTGCGCCGGCGTGCCCAGATTCGCAGGCTCAGCGCACATTAGCGCTCGTGGGCGTCGCGCGAAATTGCATTGTGAGCCCCCCCTTGTGCTTTCTGGTGCCCATTGCGCACCCAGATTCGCAACCTGGGTGTGACTTAGTGCTCCTGGGCGTTCGCGCGCCGAGAATATTGCATTCTTAGCTCCTTTCTGCATTCTGGTGCCCAGGCGCGCCAAAATGCAATGACCTGGCCGTCTCGACCGCGCGAGCCAGAAGCAGGGGCTACGGACACACTCTGGGGCAGTCGGGGTCGGATGCGTGCAGCCGGCAGAAGCTAGTCCTTGATGGGGGAGCATTTGCTAATCCCACACCTGCACACAACGGGGGCGAGGGTGCTTTGCATTTGTGCAGCACGCCCGTCCTCGACCGACCCCGGGGGGCCTGCGTCCCAAACGGCGCGTAATCAAAATACCCATGCTGACGCCCTTTCACCAGCGAGCTCAGAATTAAATTCTGGTGTGGCTGCTGAAAATACGGCGTCTGAGATTGCAACTGGACGCATTTCCCATGGGAACTCGGCCCATCGGATTTCGGAAGATTTTCGGCCCCAAAATGGGTGCCAAAGTAGCGCGGGTCGGAAGCGCCTCAGCAAGCAGTTGCTTGGCTGCGTTTCCTGTTGCCTTAGCTCCGAGGCGAAGCTGACATTCGCGTCGTTGCAACAGCGCAGTCGAGCTGCGCGCGCCCTCTAGCGCGTCGCCTTGACGGCGTTGCCCGCCAGGACGGCGCGCCCTGTCACATAGAGGATGGGGTCACCCAGACCACCCACCAGGAAAGAAACCGTTTGGGGACGGATTCGCCTGCTCCGCGACGACGGACAGCATTTTATCGCGAAGGGCGAGCGTAAGCCCCTTCGCGCCGCGTCCAGGCGGACGCGCTCGCCCCAAAGATGGGCGCTCACTCATCCATCTCATCATTCAAATCTGCTCTGTGTCCTCTGGCGGCGGCGGCAACAAAGTTGAATCGCGTCGGCGGCGCGGTGACGTCAGGGGAATCCTTTCTCTGACGGCAGCCCAGCGCCGTCCAGCTGCAGGAGCCAGCACGGCAAGGCAGGTTCTCCACCGGGGCAGCATCGCACGCAGCGCTCAGCAGGCGCGCGAATGACGCCCTCCGGAGGCCTGGGTGGTGCACTCAGGCTGCGGAGGGGGATAAGCATCGCAATCAGCGCTGGCTACGTTTTGCCCCGCAGTGCAGACCGCGCCTGAGCAGGTTGTCGTCTCTTGTCTCGTGCGTTGTGCCGCACTAGCTCAGACGAGCACGCCTCAGGCAATCTGCCCTCTCACAGCTCAGACCTTGCCCAGCCTCTCACAGGTTGCTGTCGCCTGTTTTGGTGGCGACAGCAGGCGGCGTCAGAACTGATTTTGCGAAGGGAAGTCTTGGTTGAAGGCATCTTTGGAGGAGCTGCCTGCCTGCATGTTTGAGGAATCGGAAATGCGGTTGCTCTCACCATGCCTGAGGCAACTCTCCTCTTTGTCTCGTCGGAAGAGACGCCAGGTACCCGCCTGTGGCGGGAGATCCTTCAGCTGTCCACCGTAACCGTGATGGCTCAGACAAGGTGTCTGAATTGCAGATTTGTGTCCTAGCACGCAGAGCAATCTGATTCTACGCGTCGTCCGAGGGAAGATGTCTTTCTCTCCGAGTGACGTCGCGGCGATGATCGCTACCGCCGCCAGTGGGGCCTTCAACGGCGCAGGTGCAGATCAGGTGCGTGAGTGGGTGGACTTCGTCATCAATGTCGACGTCGACCCCGCCAAGAAGCACGATCTCTTCCACTACGTGTCTGTCGCGCGGCTGCTGGCCGAGACGGGAGGCAGCATCGCGCCAGCCGACTTCGAAGACCCTCACATGCGGGACATGATCAAGGCGAGCATTCCCGTTCACGCCACCCCATGTGCCACCGAACAGGACGACCCGTGGAAGAGCTGGAAAGTCTCGCCGGCAGATTGTCTTGGCACTCAAGGTGCAGGGGGCGTGCGCGAAGAAAGCCTCGCCAGGACCATCGGTGCCACCAGAGGTGGCCCACAACAACAAAGAGCTTTCGGGCATGGCTGAAGCAGTGAAGCAATTTGCGGAACTTCAGTCGCAGGCGCTGCAGAAAGGGAAGCCGAAAGGACTCAGTTTCAAGTTGCAGGACCGGAAACTCGAGCTGGGCATGCAGCATTTCGCCAAGGATGCACTCCCGTCAGAGGAGGTCCTCGCGAAGTTCGAGGCGGCGGGGAAGATCGCGCACGACACAGGCAGGCCGTGGGTCGGGGCCGCTGAGGGCGAGGATCTGCGCGATCACCACCGCCCAACTTGGAGCCTGACTCCTATCATCGACGCTGTCGTGGGGGACGGCTCTTACGAGGAGCGGGTGAAGCAGAGAGCTGCCGCCAAGCGGAACATGGCGTGGATGGACAAAGTCGACTACGCTGGCTTTGCCATGTTCATGGGCCACCTGCACGAATGGGATTCAAAGTAATCCTCACCAAGGCATGCAGCATGGCTGACTTCCTCGCGTACGCCCACAACATCGCGCGAATCGCCGAGGAACACGGTGGAGTCAGGACAGCTTATCAATACGATGTTCTCCAGAGGAGGGCCATGGCCAGGGCTCTGGAGGAAGACGTCGTAGATTTGGCGCCTTACTTCGCCGAGATCGATCGTGAAAGCCTGGCTGACGCCAAAGACAAAGTAAACAAAAGCTTCACGGAGGCTGGCCGGGCTGTGACAGCTAAGGGGCAGCAGTCCAAGGGTCAGCCCAAAGGCTGCGCCAAGGGCGTCGCCGACAAGGGCGGCAAGGGGAGCAAAAAGAGCTCCGACGGCACAGAGGCTGACAACCGGCCTGTCCGGTCTCCGGCCAAGCGCCCCAAGGGCGCGGCGGGCACCGATTATCAGCGCAAGTCTCGCAGCCCCCGCTCCGGCAATCAGCAGTACAACAGTCGGGGAAACAAGTGGTGAGTGGGCCAAGCACCACTAGTCGACGGATCCGGGAGTGATATCTCGGAGGAAGCATCAGACGACACGGAGGCGCCACCGCTTCCAGGTACCAGTTCAAGGTCAAGTGAGTCAGCAAATTCTCCACTCGAAGCTGTCCAGGCAGCTTTCTCTGCATTTAGCGCCCGCGAGGATTTGCATAGCCTGGGTCGGAGCGACCACTTGCGCTGGGCCAGCGGTTTGCCAGAAGCCGACGATAGCCCGCGCGTGCCAACATTTTTAAACGGCCATTTTGCGAGATCGGTTTCAATGTCGGTTGCCGAGCTGCAAACCGCTCGCCAGTCTGCTCTTGCCTTTTGGAAGCATCGGAAGCTAATGACGGACCCGCAGTGGCAGACTATCTTTAGAAGTTTGCCAGCTCACTGTCAGTCAGTGCTGGGTCCGGAGAAGAACCTTCTGCTGCTGAAAGAGATGCTCGAGGCTATAGCATGGCCAGATAATGCCTTGTTTCACAACCTTTGCCATGGTTTCCCTTTGGTGAGGCGCCTGCCTGCTAGTGGCACCCATGCGCCCGCTGCCAAGTCTCCGGAACCAGCCGAGACTTTGCGGTTGCTTTTAGTACATCCGCGCGAGCGGAATGAGGCGACTCTCGGTTGAATCGCCGCGGAAAAGAGCGGCGATACGAGGGTTAGGACTCAATTTTTATCGGCCTGCTCAAAAGAGGTCGAGGATGGCAAGGTCCGCTTCCGCAACCTAGACGTAAATTCTTGTGTTTTAACAGCTCGCTTCCCTATCGTGCAGGGGGCAAGAAACGGAATGTCAAAAATTCGCTGCGTAGACGATTTCACTGCGTCTGCGGTGAGTGGCGCGGTTGTACATAGTGAAAGAACATGTCCAGACACGCTGGACACTTTGGTGGCATTCGTGCGCCACACAGCAGCAGGCAAGCAACACATTGCCATGAGGTGGAGGAAAGATGACTTCCGGCATGCTTTTAAGACACTGCCGATTTGCAGCGGCCACTTGCCGCTAGCAGTGACAGCTTGGCCAGAAGCAGTGGCAGACGGTAAGGCGTGACAGTTGCTGTGCCTACCATTTGGCTCTTCCGCCTCAGTGTCCGGTTGGGGTCGTTTCGGTCTCGCCATTCAAGGCATTTTGGCAGCTCTGTTTCACTTGTTATACTTGCGTTTTGTCGACGATATGTTCGCCGGCGATTCGGCCCTGGAGGGGCGCGATATTGGCAGTGACTGCTTAATCGGCCCCGCCGGCTCTGCGCGCCTGGCAAGAGCAGTCGTGTCAGAACTGCTGGGCTGGGATCTCGACGCCGGCAAAGCCGTCGCGGACGCCACTAAGACCGTAATCCTCGGAGTCTGCGTAGAATTTGACGACCACAACCAGCTGATCCAGTTTTCTCTCGAAGCAGAGAGATTGGAAAAATGGACCGCAGAAATTCGAGAGGCTCTGCAGCGAAGATCGCTCTCGCCTGCGCGGGCTTTAAAATAAGCAGGCGAATTGAGCTGGGGTGCGACCGCCGTCTTCGGCCGAGGCGCGCGCGTCTACCTTGCTGCCATTTACCACCAAGGCTCAGGCAACCAGAGCCGGCTGTCCCAGCGCACCAAATTGTGTCTGCGTTGGTGGCTGCGGTTCTTACAGGAACCGCCATCGAGGAGCGTCCCGGTGATGCGTCGCCAGAAAAAGCGCTGCATCCTTTACACCGACGCCAAAGGCCAGGGACGGATGGCATGGGTCATCCAAGCTCCTTGGTTAAGTGAGATACGCGTGCGTGCACTCAACGGAGGGAGAGGAGGAGAGGAGGGGACGAGAGAGGGACCAGGACAGGGCGATGGTATTTTCATGGCAGCGTGGCGACGCGCATCTCCGCCTGGGCGTGGGCCCTGATGGCCCACGCTCAACGCGAGCGCGTGGGCCCTGACGGCCCGCGCGCTCGCGCTCTGGCACGCCTGCGGCCGCTTGGCCGACGCAGGCGTCTTGGGAGCAAAGCGGGGTGGGTGGGCACCCGCGCGTCGGCCAGAGCCGAACGCTACGGACCCAAAATGGCTACCTGAGCCCACACCCCCTCCCACTTAACCTGCAGTCTACAACCAATCAGACTATACAAGTTAAGTGAGATACGCGTGCACTCAACGGAGGAGGAGGAGGAGAGGAGGGGACGAGAGAGGGACCAGGACAGGGCGATGGTATTTTCATGGCAGCGTGGCGACGCGCATCTCCGCCTGGGCGTGGGCCCTGATGGCCCACGCTCAACGCGAGCGCGTGGGCCCTGGCGGCCCGCGCGCTCGCGCTCTGGCACGCCTGCGGCCGCTTGGCCATGATAAAAGAGTAAACGCAGCCGCGCGCGCGGGGACGCCCAGCCCAAGCGCGAGGGCGGACCCGGAGGCTGCAAGAGCCTCGCGCGCGCGGCCACTTGCCTGCAACCTTGAGGCCTTTCGCGCCCCGCGCACCCAGAGCGCGGGCGCGGCGCGTGCGCGGTGCGCGCAAAAGAACCGAAAGGGGACGGCGCATGATGCGCCGGGCGCGAAGCGCAAGTGTGGCCCCGACCGCGCGGCGCGCAAGACGCGCGGCCGGGTCCAGGAAGCACGCGACGTGCGCGCAACGTTCAAACTCCTCCAAAGAGAGAGGATCGCAGGCGCCACCTGCGTACCGTAGGCTAAAAGAAAGAAGATCGCAGGCGCCACCTGCGTACCGTAGGCTCAAAGGATCGCAGGCGCCACCTGCGCACGGTAGGCTGAGAGGAGGGCCGGCTCACTCACAGGCCGCCGCCGTCAGCCCGCGCCCGCGATGCCGCGGGCGCTGGCGTCGGGATACGGGGAGCTCCACGCCTAGATGGAGGGCGTGTTCCCCCGGCGGTCGCGGCTCTCGTCTCCGCTGCGGTCTCCGCCGCGCTCACTGAGGTCTCGGGGGCTGCCGCCATCGCCGCCCCTCGACGCGCGATCGCCCGCGCTGGGCCGGTCACGCTCACTCCGGCCGCGGCTGCCCTGGTCGCCCTTGGAGTGGCCGCCCTTGCCGCTCTTGTCGCCCTTGCCGCCGCTCTTGGAGCCCTTGGCGGCCTTGCCGGAGTGCTTGCCCTTGACCTTGCCGCCCTTGCCGCCCTGCCCTTGTCGCCCGCGCCCTTGCCACGCCAGGCTGGGATCCCACCCCCGCCCGCGGCAGCCTCCGCGGCGGCAGCACGCCGCCGCTTTTTCTCCTGCTCGTACCAGCCGCCGCGAGGAGCGCGAAGCTGCCCAGCGTGCTTCCCGGTCTTACGCCGCGTGCGGCCGGGAGGGGTGTCGCCGCGCCGCGCCCACGCTGGGTCCCGCGCCAGACTGCGGCTGGGCGACCTCTCGCGCTTGGGCCGGTTGCGGCTGGGCGACCTCTCACGCTTGGGCCAGCTGAGGTCGCCCGGCGGGCGGTCCCCCTCAGCCCCCGCACCCGTGGCACCCGTGCTGGGGCGCTCTCCGTGGCCGGCACTGGGGCCCGGCGCCTCCCGCACGGTGTGGCCGCTCCGCCGGGCCTTCTCCACCACCGTCTTGGGTTTGCCGAAGGCGACGCGGCAAGCCTCGCAGTAGCTCACGTCGCACCCCTTACAGTGCCACCGCAGGGCTCCGCTGTTAGCTCCGCCCGCGGGGCACATCTCGCAACCCCAACCGTCTCCCGGGTCAAAGGAGCTCCAGCGCATCTTGAGTGCGCACGTCGGGCAGGCAGGCGGCTGGATGGTCGGGCCATCCTCCCCGTCGCTGCCTGGGTCAGGGCCGCGAGGTCGGCTCGCCCACTCCGTGACCACCGTGCACGGGTCCGTCTTGTAGAACCGATAGTTCGACCTCATGCACTCCCGCGCGCGCTTTGCGTCAGCGCGGCGCTGGAACTCCACCAGCACGCACGGCTCCCGCTTGTGGCGGTGGTCGTACAGGAAGGCGATGTGTTTGACGACCCCAAAGGGCACGACCACCTGCCTGACCACCTCGGCGTCGACGTGGTGCGGTACCCGCTCGATGCGGATGATGGACTCGCCCTCGTCGTGCTGGTCACTGGGCTGCTGCTGGGCGCCCTGGCGCTGCTCCTCCTTGCGCCTACGGCGGCTCCTCGAGCGCGGCTGGCGCTGGGGCGGACCGTCCCCCGCGCCTGGCGCCGCCGTCTCCTCCACCTCGGTCTTCACCTCGAAGGACCGCGGCGGCGCCCCCCCGCTCTTGGGCTTCAGGACGGCCTCACGCTTCACGATGTCGGCCTTCGGGGGGGCGCCGCCCGTCTTGGGTTTCAAGACGGCCTCCTCCTCCTGTCCCCTGCGCCCGCGATCGCGAGGCGCATCGCGCTCGCGATCGCGGCGCCTCGCGCGCGAGGGCGAGCGCAAGGGCGCAGGGCGCCTCTCGCGCTTGCGGACCTCTTCGGCGAGGCGCTCTTGGCCCGGGGACCGCGCGGGCCGCGGGCGCTCCGCTGGAGCGCCTTTGCTCTGGCGCCGCGCGGCAGCCTGGATGGCCGCACGCGCCAGCGCCGCGGTGACCGCGTCCTCTCCCGGCTCGAGGACCGGGGCTGGGGTCGACCTCCCCTCGC